TAGTTACAGGGCTGTGTGTTGGGTGTGTGGGTGTATGGGCTCACCTGTGGGGGTGTATCCAGTCCGCGTGGGGCTGCGTGAGCGGTGCGTGTCCGGGTGTTCATAACTACGCGTGTATACGTGCGGTGGTTGGATGTGTCGGCGTAGGGGAACAGGTACCGGGGGCTGTCGGGAGCGCGGGGTGGTGTGCGTTCACGATGGGCTGTACGTGTGAGCGGGGTACGCGTGTGGAGCACGTGTGTAGGGGTTGTGTGTAGGTGTAGATGTGTCCGTGTGTATGCAGGCGTGGGCCCCCGCCGGCGTCCTGGTGTACGCCGTGCCGCTGCCATCTCAGCCTACCGGCAGCGCCAGCGTCCGTGTCGCGCTGAGCATCGCTCCAGAAAATCCCGTGAGTCGTTCGTCCGCACAGTCCGACCCACGCACACATCGGCGTTTGCGTTTTGATATCTTGAGCTGGAAAATAACGTGCGTACTCCTGTCACCTCATTTACTTCTCCGTTTTAGGAGGTGATGCTCCTCGTGTGTCCTTGACAGCGTTCCTTTGCCTACAGGCTGATACTTCGTTTGTGGCTACCCTTGGAAAGAGCTGTTTAAAGCAAAATAACGTTAGAGCCAATTAAAATTTTAACCTATTTATTTGTTTTCCCACTCTCCCCAGGAACGTTGTGGTCAAGATGGCTACGACACGACTGTATAAAATGGGCGACGGAAGCAACTATGCAACCGACTGCTTTCCTGCCAGGAACATTTTGCACACAAGTAAAGAAGGTGACGCTTTGAGGGTACATCACAGCTGATAACACAGATAGCGGTTGATAACGGAACTTCAAAACCGTGCCCAGAAAATCTTAAAATAATTTAAACCTTCATTAAAATGAAGAGGGCAGGATATCTAGGGCATACGTTAACCGATGGCTCCAGCAGCCGTCTCCAGATGCCGGCAGGAGGGAAGCTTCAGGCAGGCATGTGGATAGCACAGCGTGGTTCTCCATCATTCTGAGCTAGAGCTTCTCCTTTTTCTCTGGGCTTTGTGAGTCACATCTGTGAAATGCTTAGAAATGGCAGAAATGTCTTCTAACGTTTAAGAAGTGGTGGTGAAGTCTGCTAGAAGGTCCTGTGCTCCAGCCCCCTGACCAGTCGAGCATCCTGAGCTTGTTTTTTATTTGGCCAAGAAGAGTCCAAGGGGAGATGGTGGCTTACAGCTACCTGAAGGACAGCTACGAACCCCTCTCGATGGTGGCAGATGGCATGACTGGGCCAAAAATTTCACCTTGGGAGGTTTAGGATGGACGTTAGGAGGAACTCCTTCACTGGGAGGAGGTGCAGCTCAGAGCCAGGTTACCCTGGGAGGTGGTGGAATCATTAGACAAAGCCACAGCTGGCTGATCTAACATTGCTGATGGTCCTGCTTTGAGTGGGAGGTGGGATTGGAGACCTCCAGGAGGCTCTTCCAGCCCACATTTCCATGTCTGCAACCTATGGCTTTATTAGCATCGATGAAGTAGCATGGTTCTTCTCTTCCATGGCTCTGGCTGTAGCTTTAAGGTTCCTACCTTAAATTTATGGTCACTGAACATTTTATACTCCAGTATTTCCCCGTATAGGGGATTTTAAAATGATGGATTTCAGTGTTGGGCTGAAACACCAGGCAGAATGCAGCCACTTTGAGAAGGGCACGTGTGGAGGGTCACGTGCTCTCCATATCATCCCCTCTGCCTTGGTCCATCGTCGTGCCAGGGGCTGGGCGCTGGATGCTGGCACGCGGAACTACCCTGAGGGCTCGGACTGAGAAGAGGACCACCAGGAAGACACCAGAGCAGAGGAGAAAGCCCCTAGATTCTGCCTCCGTGGAAGAAAATAATGAAAACAATGTCCTAGATGAGCTATTTCTTGTGAGTGCAGATTTCTCTGTTATTGCCTACACTTTATGATAGCGGTTTGTGGAGAGATCCTGCTCGTGGACGGACTCTGTACTGCCTCTCCCTCCTTATGTCTGTGCCACCTTCTCCCCCCTTCCCACAATCCAAGGGGACAGCTGAGGTCTGGTTTTGGGGTTCAGGTCCCAGGATGTGACATTTAGGATTGCTTACACGAGTGGTGCAGGAGTAACCATTGTGTTTCTTTTTTTTTTTTCCCCCCAGATGAAGCACCATTGTTTGAAGAACCCTTCCGACCTGCGCTCTGTGAACATCAGCAGCCAAAATCTGGTCTCTGTGAGTATCAGAGACTCCAGAAGCATTAAGGAACTACCTTAAAAGTTGAAAAATTTACCACGTTACCACATGAGTGTCCAGATGTCAGAGAACACACACGTTAGAAGCAGGCATGTTTCCTGCACAGGAAGGTCAGCCAGCCAGCCGTGAACAGGCTTGGATGATTTGTCCTACAAACCTTTGGATCGTGTCTTCATCACCAAATTAACTTGGTCTTCATCAGGTGTAGCCCCTTCCCCACTTACATCCCCTTGCAAAACGCTGTTCTTTGGGTTCAGGGAGGTTCAGCTTAACTTCAGCTTGAGAAGTGACTGTTAATTTGGGTTCATTTGCAATAGGGTGCTGATAGGTTTTTAGTGTCTTTTTTTTAGGGTTCCCTCCTGGTGCTGTGCGGGTCAGATGTGCTAAATTGTGTAAATTGAGGTACGGCCCAGGAGCCCTGAAAAACACACACAGGGGAGCAAGGTCAGCAGGGAGGACGCAGAGGGGGCTTTGCTTTGGGGCTCGACTAATCCAGGGCTTCTGGATGTTGGCCACGGAGGCGGCTGTGTGTTAAACTGAGGGGTGCTCTCCACAGCCAGAAAAACAAATGAAGACCTAATTATGGGAAGTGCTCTGATGTAGGCATTCTGAGAAAAGGAGAGATCCAGTTGTTTCAGATCAGTTTAGGGCTGGAGTGGAATGATTGGGTTTTTTTCTGCATTTTGCAGGCTAAAGAAGATGATTTGGAGAAATTTGATGGTGTTGCTTTTATAAATGCTGCTGAGAACCTGCTGACACTAGGTAAGGGGCTGCGTTACCAAAAAATAGACGTTGCTTTTCAACCCAGGGAAGCTTGTGCTTGTCTGAACACAGGTCTAGAGCTTTACAAAAAGGTTTAAGATACATACAGCACTTCTCTGTGGAATTGCTTCCTTCCTGTTAGTAAACTGAAATCCTAATTCCCTTTATTGTAACGATAATTGTGTGCCACTGTGGTATCCTTTTCATTATTAGAAAACAAAGCTCTTTACAAAGAAAATCCCCATTTAATATATAGAAGCGTGGAATAATGAAATGACTTATCCCAAAGGCTCAGAAGGTTAATGATAGAGCTGGGAGGTGAATCCAAATCCACTGTCGTGGGCTCAGTTAATTTGAAAAAGAAAAAAGGTAATCCCTTTATAACTAGTAAAACATAGAAGCTAAACGTGCCATCAGTGGCTTCAAGCAATCATCCGATTTGGCGTGGGAGCAAATGCATGAAAGCAAACCAGATGTCTCAGGGGCTGGTGGGGCATCGTGTATTGTACGGACAACATCGAACTGAGCTGGCATTTTTTTTCAAACATGCCCACCGATAATACTATCGCTCTCCTTCTTGATGGTTTTGGTCCGTTCCAGATCCAGATAAGACACCGTTTGTTCTGTTACTGCTGTTCCTCACTCGCTGGAGCATTTCCTTTTCTACCCTTGCAGAGCCATTTCGGAAGTTTCCAGGACTGCGGGAACTGCAACTTTCCTTGAACGGACTAAGAAATCTGAAAATCACCGCTGGAGACTTCCTGCATTTGGAAGTAAGATGAGGGGGAGCCGAGACTTTATTCCTTCCCAACCGTCGTGCTGAAGCCTACATTTGTCTGAGACCACACGGTCATTCTTTCTTCCTGTTCCCTTCTGACTCCAGGAAGTCCTTTCCTGTGTGTCCCTCGAGGACCTTCACATCTTGCTTTCTCCTGCAGAGCAATCCCTCACAGATCCCCATGGCTCAGCTCCTTGCCATGGGACTCCTTGTTTTCCCTGTAATGGGCCACCTCCTTTGCTGTAGGATCCTTTCCCTGCAGTGTGATCCCTGTGTAGCGATCCTTTCCCTCACCTCCCTGATGCTGGGTGGTCCCTGACAGATCCCCATCCTCCTCCGCACTCTACCTCTCTGTGTTGCATCCTCCTCCTCTCCAGATAGGTGTCTGCAGTTTCCCCATCTTATGGGCTGCTTTTCTAACGTGGCAAAGGGGTCAGTTTGGGTTTTTTCTTTTAAAAAAAAGAGACAAAGTGGATCCTAAGAACAAGAAACTGTGCCTGGTATGATGGCTCTAGTTGTCCTCTCCCTCCAGCTTGCCGTGGGTGTCTGCTATAGAGAACTCAGCAGTACTGATTTTATCTAGGTTTGCTCTCTTTGAGGAGGTGTCCTTGCCTGGACTTCTCTGGTTTCTGGTTACTGCTGGATATAAAGTTTTGCCTGAAAAGGTTTCTTTCTTCTTGTCTTATTCAAAGAATTGTTGGTGGCTCGGCTGTCAGCTCTGTACACTCGGATCCTGGCCTCCCTCCTGTCTGCAGGCTTTTGGAGGCCCCCACATCCATGAAATCTAGGAGAGCTTCTCCCATGTTTCTCCCATGCACTGTTGGTAACCCACTCAAGGGTTTGACTCAGTCAGTAAGCACGTGCCCAGCTGATGCGGAACCAAAATTTCCAAGGCTCGTGAGGCCAAGGTTGATCCTGTCCATCCCTGTGTGCCTCTGTGTGAGCAGCCCTGCCACTGGCATCAGCTCTGAAAGGTGGGAATGGGACCTACCCAAACTCCCCTTCCTGCCATGCCCCTGTGGACCTCAGCTTCATCCGTGACCTGTGTCCAGGATCTTGTTTGCTGACAGCCCAGAGAAATCAGCCCTGGGAAGGCTGATTGGAAATTCATATTAAATTGATTTGGAAAGTGCTTTGAGCTCTTCCCAGGAAAATGTAGCCTATTGTAATGCCCTGGCAAAGCCATTCTTGTTCATGAATCCTAGAAACCTTTGTCCTCGCTCCCAGCAGGGTCTGCTCCTTGGCTTTCTGCTGCCTGTTGTCCTGTGAGCCACAGAGGTGAGCAAGGGACCAGCCCTGAGCACTTCTGCAGAGGTGCAGAGTCCCACCGCTGTAAGTGAAGTTCCTGCAAGTCAGAGATGCTCACAGCGTCACCCTAGGGCAGGTGGTAGCGTGACTGAAAGTCTGTAAATATTTAATATCTACCTGGGGAAAGCCAACAGAGATTGTTCTTCACTCCAGGGGATTGTTTCTTCTGTTTCCATCAGGATCTGGATCTCTCCTACAATAACTTGTCCCCCCAGGACATTTGGACATTGGGAGATTTGTCCCAGCTCAAAGTCCTTCACTTGACAGCCAACGGCCTGCGGTCCCTGCCTCCGGACCTGGCGGGCTCGTGGGAGTAAGTGCACGCAACAAGTGATGCTTCGGTTTGGTGGGGAGCTGCCGATGGGGCGGTGGGATGTTCCGGGCAAGCAGACAAGGGTGATGGAGCGGTGGGGCTGGCAAAGCAGTGGTGAGCAGCGAGGGTGGGCAGCCTGGGATATATCAGTCCGGGCAGCAGAGCTCTTCCCCTGCAAACTGGAAGAACAAATAACCTAATGGTCGGTTCTGGGTGGCAGAGGAGCGTTATCATCCCCCAGGGTATGTGCTGTCAGCAGCAGCTAGAGAGGAACCTCTGGACTCAGCAGCCCTGGCGGGTGGCCGAGCCACGTGAGTAGGACGCTATTTATTAGACCCTTCACATATGGCTTAGACACAGTCGCTATGCCAAGGTATCCGCTGTTTGCCATTGTTGGAGATAAGATGCTGAGCTAGACGGTTGTTTGGACTGATTCAATTTAGCTGCTCTCAGGTGGGATATCAGTTTTCTATTAAAAGAATGAAACCAGCCCCAGTCGAGTCTCCCAGAGGACACATCTTGCCTCAGTGACAGCAAATGATGTGGTTTTCACCTGTCTTTGCGTGAGTGTGTTATTAATGAGCCTCTTTGTATCCGCAGCTCTGCTCATTTAAGGTTTCCATCTCTGGAGGTCTTGTTGCTGGATGACAATCGTCTGTCAGACCCGAGCATCTTTGTGAGCCTCTCTCGTCTCTGCAGGTAAGGAAGCACTTGGCAGCAGACGGCTCTGGCTTTTGGGGGCTGGCAGTTGCCTCCATCAGCTCTTGTACAGTAGCAGGCTTAAAATAAAACCCAAAATCTTTGGGATTCACTCAGATACTTTCCTGTTTAGTCTCTCTAGTATTGCAAATAGGGCTGAATGGAAGCAAACAGCCTGCTGCAAAGCACAAGCTGGCCAAAACCTGGCAGGCGGCTGGTAATTCAGCTCCAGCCCTGCGTGTTTGCCCATCTCCAGGTCTGATTTGAGAAATGGCAGTTGCTTTCTCCATTTTCCCTTCTTCGCCGCAGATTCATCCTTTATTTCAGCACTAGGAAAGGCTGTGGATCAGCTCCCTCTGTTTAATGTGGGCTTTTGTGATTCAGCCAGAGATGAGTCACTAGGAAGGGGGGGCTGTTCATGTGCCCCTCAGCTGGGCTGTGCTGGGTTTGGGGACAGCACAGAGACCTTCTGATGTTCCTCGGATGCCTCCCTCCAGCACTGCAAACTGGAAGTGGGTATCTGGTCTGGCTGCTTGCCCTGGCTTTGCCAGGACATTCCTGGAGTAAAGTGCACGTTGTCTGCAGTGTTCAAGAGAAAGGAGGGGGAGTGGGTGAGATTTAGGGATGAGACTGCAGGGCTGGAGTGTGGAGGTTTGGGTTTTGCTCTTCCCTAAGCTGTCTTCTGGCCTTGGTGATGTTATACTTCCATGGGAAGGTGGAACATCGTTAAGAAATCTCAGTGGGACCGCAGCTCATCAGAGCCCCAGGTGATTTAATGAACTGCCGAGACATCTCCTTGTCTGTTAAATTCTCATCAAGAGATGAGCTAGAGCTAGCTGACCCTTGGGCTGGTGGGGGGGGGCAGAGTCACAGGCTTCAGGGGCAATGCTGGGCTGTGCCAAGGACTGAGCCTGTGGTTGCGATTTGGAGACGAGGGGGAACAGAGCAGCGAGGTGCGGCTGTCACAGATGCCTCCGCACTGCTGCTGGGAAGCTCAGCGAGGAGGCAGGTCGAGGGCCAGCTCCCTGCCCTGCGGGCGCCGGGGCAAACAGATGGCCGGGTGCATATACCGATAGCAATCATGGAGTTTCTCACAGATTTCCTCCTCCCGTAGCCTGAGGGAGCTGAATTTGGACAGGAACGGGATTTCGGCTGTTCCCTACCTGCACCAAGCTGAGAGCAGGCAGTTCTTCCTCCACCCCGCACTGGATGGCGATAGCTTCAGGGCACAGTGGTACAAATCCCTGAGCAGGCTCTGGCAGCAGTCCCGGCCGCCGCAGCAGGAGGACACGGAGGTGCCAACAGAGCTGGAGACGAAGAAAGGACAGCTTGAATATGTTGTGTTACAGAATGAGAGGGATCCGGACAGGACGGGTGAGCAGTGTCTGCCTCTCCCTGAAACCGCAAGGTGTTTCAGTGGGAGAGGGATGAGTTATGTCAGGGTGAGGATCTGCTGGATGTTTACTAGTGAGTGAAGCAGCTTGACAAAATTAAAACAGTGAGGGAGGGATACTTGGGACCATTTTAGACGTCTTGGCTAACCTTTACAGTCCATTTATAATTACTGGGAGCTTCCTGGACACAAATGACCCTAAAGCAGGATAGACTGTAGGACTACCCTAAAGCAGGGCAGACTTCTCCAGGGTAGGTTGCTCCAAAGGAGAAAGCGCATGCTGGCTGGAGGAAAATTGGCAAAAATAGGGAAAAAATTCAGGTTGGGAAGTGAATTACTGTGGATCCTGGAGAGGCAGAAGGCAGGAAGGTTGTGTGAGTAGGTAGCCCACGCGCAGGTCTGCGTTCCTGGGGTAAGTCAGCTCTCCCCTCTGGATGTCCTTACTGAAGCATGATGCACGCACCATGTGGGCCACGTGATGGGATGGATCCAGAGGCTGCCTGGTGTTTCCTGTGTGGATCGGGCTGTGATGGAGGCTGATGGTGAGGCTCCTCCAAGCACTTCTTCCGTCCCCCGGCTCGCTGCAGCAGTCCCTATTGTTAGGTATTTGCGGAGCAGGCAACGGTACAACTTCTGGTGGTAGCAGCATGATGTGGGAAAGGCCTCGTGCTCACGGGTGAGATTCCAAACAAAAATCTACATGTGGGGAACTCCTGGCCTCCCTGAGGCCAGTACCAAGGTTTCTGCAGTGTTTGAGGGACATGGACCTCACCTGGAGCGATGGGGCTGTCAGCAAGCTTCCTACAGTGGGCCTGATCCCCCCCTCCCCACCTTGGGCACGTCCCGCCATTGAGCCAGATCCTGCCTGATGGTGATTTGCTTTTCCGGGGTAATTCCAGCCTTGCCATGGCTGGGGCTGGTCCAGGCTTGGCTTCATGTAGAAACTCTCACTTTCCTTGTGTTTCATTGCAGATGTCGTTTTTAATTCTGGCTCTCAGGAACACCCAGCGCTGGTAAGAACCATTGGCCGATCTGTGATTTGGGGTGTGAGCTTCAAAATTTCCCTTCCCCAAACCTCTCAGCTGAGTTTCAATAAGCCCGTGGGTACTACTGGGACTCTGGGGGCCTGCAAGGTTGTATCTGCAAGGAGTATTGTCTCTCAGCGAGGAGATCAGGAGCAAATTTTCCCATAACCAAGGGAAACCAGAGCTTAAACTTCTATCACTTTTGTTTGAAAGCTGGGTCGCCATTTGCTCGTGACGGTGTGCCCTCCCTTGCACAGGGAAGCGTGTTCTGCAACTCAGGTGGGGACTGAAGCTCAGGAGCTGGGAGTTCATTCATTCTTAGCGCTGTCATCTTTTCCCCCACATTTATGTGATGCTCTTCAGAATAAGGTGTTAGAAGCTGAAGACCCTGATTTGAAGCCGAAGGGTCGATTTAGATTAGATGTTAGAAAGAAATTCTTTACTGTTAGAGTGGTGAGGTGCTGGAACAGGGTGCCCCGAGAAGCTGTGGCTGGCCCTGGGTCCCCCGGCCAGGTTGGATGGGGCTTTGGGCAACCTGGGCTAGTGGAGGGTGTCCCTGCCCATGGCAGGGGGTTGGAACTAGATGATCTTTAAGGGTCCCTTCCAACCCAAACCATTCTATGATTTTTATTAGAACTTGAGTAAAGAGCTGAGCTTCAGAGATGCTGAGCGCTTGCATCATGTTCTAGCGTAACACACATGTACGTACACACACACACACTCCCCGAGAGCACAGCTGCTTCCTCCTGAGCCCGCGTACGATTTTGGTGCTGGATGATGGAGTTTGGTGCATTTGACTTGAGGGCTCCCACAGTAATGCAGAGGCCAGAGCAAGCTGCCATGAGACAATCTCCGAAGCGAGTCTGAACGAAAAGCTCCTCAAATTATAGTGGTGTTTGGGCTCAGGAGGGTGGTATCCTGTCACCGGAGGTGTCTCCTGGCACCGGAGCCCCTGGAGCGGTGTCTCTGCTCACACTCTTCCTCCTGTCTTTAAGGTTGTTCCCAGGGAGGGATACCCATCTGCCTCTAAGACTCTGCCAGCTCCCTCCACGCTCAGGAACGTTCGTGCTCCCTTTCCTGAGCTGAAACATCTCAGCCTGGCCTTCAACAAGGTGATTTGGGTCCTGTGGCTCCAGATAAATGTAAAGATTCAGCTCCCTGAGCCTGGCCTTAGTTCTCTGGGAGACACCCTTGGCCTCTAGCTGCCACTGCCGAAGGGCACAGCTCTCCCTGGCTCCTGTGTCCATCTGCCAGCCCACAGGGATGCGTCAGATATCCAGGATCTCTCAGGTGGGACAGGAAGCCTATTTAGGCAGCTGAATTGCACCCAGCTTGCCTCAACCCTTGCATATTTGGGGATTTAATCAGAGAATGGGATATGTGAAGGACTGTCCTCCCCCTGGACTGATCCTTTGCTGGAGCTGCATGGTGGATGGTGATGTCTCACCGAGAACTTAGGGCTGGTTTAGTGCCAGGTTATACCTATCTGCTGAGCCACAGGGGGTTCTCAGTGTGCCCCAAAAGAGAAGTAACACGTTCATTTAACCTCCCCTTCCCAGTACTTTTGGCTCCTGCCCAGGGCTTAACTCACACTGCTTCCAGCCAGGTGAGCTGGCAGTGCCAAGTTACCTCTGCCCAACAAGGGGCATCCCTCCGGGATATGATGGGATGGGTCAGCTCACTTCCAAAGTGAGCTCTGCTGTGTGTCATCTCCCTGTTTTACGTTGCTGCCTTGTCGGTGAGCTGGTTTTTGGCTGCCGTGCCCTGGGCCAGGCTGTGGTTTGGTCCATAGGGTGGAAAGGTAGGACTTTTTTTCCTGCCTCTCCACCTTGCAGCTCTTCTGAGCATTGGAGGCATCAGTCCTCTGGCTGCAGCGTGCAAGAGGGAGAGGGGAGCGCTGCCTCCGCCCTCCATAATCACAGGCAGCAGAGCTGCTGGGTGTCTCTGGTTGAGGGATGCCATCTCCCTCCTCCTCCTCCTCACTGCACGTTACCTGCCCAGTGCCAGCGTCCCCAGGCATTGGAGGAACGCGCTTTGGTGGGAGGGTTGGGATGAAACCCTGCAGCCTCCAGTGTGACTCAATGCTTAGATCAAACAGTAAACTATTTTATCTTACAGATTGCGGATGAGACAGCTCTCTTACCTGTGGCTTTCTTCCCGTGCCTGAAGGAGCTGACATTTCACAACAACCCTCTTACCACCACTCGGAGCGGTACAGTATGAGCCCAGCTCTGCGGGGCACTCCTGCTCCATCCCTCCTTCGCTGTGAGCTCTCTGGGACAGGGACCACGTTGCCTTTCGGTGTTCGGACACTCCTGCCACGCTGGCCCTGGCCCCCATGGAGGTGCTTTAATAATTTCTGCTCTCTAAAGAGCAACGCAGGTGAACACTGCTCTTGCAAACACTGCTGCTGCTCCCGGCCCCGTCAAAGTCTGTAAGAGCCCATCCGTGACTGCAGCAGTGCCATCCCAGGCTAAATTTTGCTCTTCAGGTGGTGTTTATCCCACAAAGGGCTTGTCTGAAGCTGGTCCAGGTTTTTGTCCTGCAGCAGCTTTCTGAGCAGGGTGGACAAACCCCAAAGGTAGCCAGAAGGATGTTGATGAAACGTTGCAGCGCTGTCACACGGTGCAAGAGCTATGTATAGACTAGTAAATAAAACAGTTCAGGGCTGCTCCTCTGGCCTTGGTGGCACGGAGCCCTGGCCAGTGTGTGTGTCCTTAGGGCTAAGACGTCTCCCTACAAAACAGAGTGGCTTCTACTCTGGTCCCCCGAGCAGTGCCGTGCTCTGAGCTGAGCCTTGGGTTAGCTGGCACAGCATGCTGCCAGGGAAGGAGCAGGACACGGGCTCTCCACCAGCTGCCTGCAGCTCTGGTCAACCTCTGCTCCTTCAGGGCAGCCGCCTCTGCTGACGCGGCTTCTCCAGCACAATCTGGGGATTAAACTTGTCCGACAGAAGAGCCTAGCCGTGGGGAGGTGGCACTTCTCCATCCCTCTCAAAGCCAGACGCAAGGTAAGGAGGGATGTGCCTCTGGAGCGTGGAGTTTTTCCTGCCCGAGGCAGGGATGAAGCCCTTGCTGCAGTACTCAGGGCAGGACTGCCCAAGGAACCGACTTGCTGGAGAGCACGGGAAGAGCTGGCGGGACAGACAGATCCCAGCGGGGTTGGAAGGATGGAGGGAAGGGTGGGAAGGATTTGGAGGTATTTTGCTCAGGATGAGGCTGGGGAATCCAACCACCCCCTTATTGCTGCCCCAGACAGGGTTTGTCACTGGGTTTTTGGGTTCAGTCCTGCCCATCGGCCTTGGTTGAGGGATCCTACGGGACTGAAGATGCTGCCTGGGTGTCCCCAGAGCCGGGGCTGCCCTGGCACTCCCTGTCCCGTAAGGCCCAGCCTCCAGTTGCCGGACCCGACCCCACGCTGATGCTCGTGGCAGTGTGTACAGACGTCCATTGCGTCCCCTCAGGTCATGTCGCAACTCCCCAAAGTCACGAAGCAGCCGCTGATGCTGGAATCTCCTGCCAAGACCTTTCTGTGGAAACCGCTCCCAGCTGCGGTAGAGGCTGCGAGAGATGCTGCACCTCTGAGTCCAGCCCAGCCGCTGCCCCCCATCAGCTCCATGACCCCAGCCAGCGACCAGCGGATGGCACTGGGGGAAGGGGAGGGTGACTCCAGGCCTCCTCCTGGCCCCGTCGAGGAGGACATTGCATCCTTCTTTATAACGCAGGTGAGGCCGGGCTCTGAGTGTTCAGGACTGCAAGGCTTGTCCAGAAATGGTCCATAGATGGACCTTTCCTAAGTGAACAAACCGTGTGCGTGTGCTGTGGGTACCAGTGGTTATATCCCTCCTTTGACTGCAAGGGATTTAAGGATGGAAGCACTAGCAAGAAGCATAAATGCAATACTGTGACCAAGAACAAGAATTAGTGGCCTGTTTCGCAGGGTGGCACATAGCTGTGCTGGCTTCGTGGGTAGCCCCAAGCGCAGGAGCTCAGCAGCCCAGCATTGTCCCTGCAGCATTTGCTGGAAAACTCCCTCCTAGAGCTCACCAGGGCAGCTTTTTGACTTGATTTCCCTGAAAATCTTGGGGTTATCAGGGAAAAAAAAGTCTGCACTGTGATGAAGATGGCTCGTCTCTCCTCTGTGCCCGGTCCCGCAGACATGGCGTGAGGTGGTGGCTGCATGGCTCGGTGCCACCAGGAGAGACTTCTGACCACAGCAGGACAGGCTCTGGCTGACTCCATCAGCTTAACCAGCAAGAAAGGGCTGCTGTGAATTCCTTTATTTTGCTCCTTGGAGGTGGAGGATGTGTCCAGACCCCTGCTGAGACCTGTGGCAGAGGGCAGGCTGAAGAAGAGGAGCGAGCAGAGGGGGGAAGGAAGCTCCCAGGTGGTTCCAGAGCGATACAAAGGCTACGAGGAGCTGCTTGGTGGAGAAACGGACCCAGATTTTATCGAGCCAGTTAGTGAGTGAAGATAGCAGAGGGCTCCTGCTTAGAAAAGCCTTGGCAGGTCGATGAGCAGTATGGTCCACTCTGACCAAGAACGAAGCAGTGAAGGCTTTTGTTGTGCCGTCTTCCCCTCTGGTTCACAGGGATACAGAATAACGTGCAGGCGTTGTACTCCATCCTGAAACACGCCCTGGTTTACCGGGATGCCAAACCACGTCTGGACAGTGTGCAGAAGCCCTACGTGCCTCGGGAAAAGGTAAAGAGTGGAGGAAACGGCCTCTGAGCTGGGTCTGCGGGGTGGGTTATAGTAGAATTACAGTCCCTGAATCCACTGCGCCACTCCGGGGTCACGTAAAGCTGACCCAGTGTTGCTCAGTACACCTGTACTCTGAAATCAGTGTCGAAACTGGACCAGCTTGGTCCAAAAAAAAGAGACCGTCTCACCTACCTCGTGCAGAAGCCCATGCCCATGTTAGTTTAGGAGAGGGGGTGGGAAAAGGAGGTGGAGGATCATCAGCCTGGAGGGTGGAGGGGAGGCATGCTGCAGCCTCCTGGTCTTCCTTGCAGCGTAGGAGGATGCCCGACCCTCCTGCCCGAAAGACAAAAGCAGAGGCCTTGGAAGGAATCCTGATGGCCATGAGAAACACCTCGACCATCACTGAAGTCCCCTTGGGTATGTTCCTGCGTTCCCCGTCTCTCCTGTTGACGGCACCACAGAGGCAGAGGCAGGATCTGAACATAAAGGTGTCCCTGAGCTGGTGGGCTCCTGGGGTACGGCTGAGGTGGGGACGAGGGTCCCCAACGGAGAGGACAGGGGCTTCACCTGCGGAACACCCTCAGCCCACCATGAGGTTGGACCCTGATGCTCTGCCTACTGGTTAACGGAGGGGTAAATCCAACACAGATGCTCCTGGGGTTCCTTGGATCCACAGTTGGCTTAACCTTACCCCAACCCAGCTGTTGGAAGAACAGCCTTGGAGTAAAAGTGGTTTTGCCCCCAAGATGAAGCAGGACTCAGGTCTCCGAGCAGTGGCCATGTTTTGTCTCCATCCCAGCCCCGATGGTGGTACAATCCTGAACTGCTAGTGCAAGCAGGACCCACCTACTCCCTAGCACTTTTTCTTTTCCCTGCACTGACCAGGGAAGAGCAGAGGAAGAGAGGCAAGAAATTAAGGCACTTTCTGCCGCTTACAGTAAGAGCCGCTGCCCAGGCCTGAACCCAGAACATCTGTCCTCACTCCTGAGTTACTCAAGACCACCGGTACCTTTGCTTTTGGGGTTTCCATGTTTCATGTGGGTGCCAGGTCAGAGCTGGATCCCAGCAGCCGCCTTTGTGTCCCTGCCACAGTGATGCACCCCGTGCTGCAGGGACGGAAGGGCTGGGGCTGCTGGCGGGCGGAGGCGTGGGAGTGAAGATCAAATATTGCAGCCAAGGAGCCGTCCCATCGCTCTGCTCACACCCCTGGCCTTTTCCAGCGTCTGTTTTGCAAAAGAGGAAATCCAGCCCCAAAGCATACCGGGAAGCACGGAGGCTGATGGAGGAATTCCAGGAGGTGTTCGAGATCCTGCCCGCAACCATTGGCAAGGAGATGGCCAAGCCGTCAGATGAGGCGCAGGTGCTAAAAGCCCTTCTCGAAGAGGCAACACCCAAGCAGGGGATTCCCAAACAGCTAGAGCTGCCAGGGAAGAGAGCGGCGAAGAAGGTGCCCAAAGTTTAGTCCGTAGTATAGCCAGGGGTTTAATAAAGCATCTCACACCTTGGTCCTCTTGGGTAAAATGCACATTGTTCTGTAACTTGTTTGGAGCCATTTTTTCCTCCTGAGGTTGAAAAATCGAGCGCGGTGACAAAATTCATCTCAGGCTTTCAGGCAGCGACTTCCAGCTTGAAAGCATGGATACAGGGAACGCTGCCGTGACAGCACGTGAAAGCCATGTCTGCTCCCTGCCATGTCAAGGTGTGCGCTCACCCGTCCCTGCGCAAAAGCTGACTCGTGAGAAAAAACTACTGCACCCTCTGGGCACTGCAGGGAGGTTTTGGCCAGCAATGAGCACGGCAGAGAGCACCGTGTCCACCCTGTCCCACGACGAGCACAGCTAACGCTGGGGCTCTGCCTGTACCAGGAGGGTTCATGGCTGAGCAGCACCACCACCACCGTTAATGGAGCGACAAGCTAATAGGAGCTCTCCGGTTCTCTCAGCTCCTGCTTGCCATCCCATCATCGAGTGGGGAAAATCCGCCCCACGAAGGGGAAGTGCCGCTCCGAGCACGGAGTCCCATCCTGACGCAGGTATGTGCCCAACCAGCCGGCCCTGAGCGTGGCACAAAATAGTTATTAAAACCCCAAATCCACGCCCCGGTCCGGCTTCCCTACAGCTGCGTCGCTGCAACCGGAGGGGCTGGGACAAGCGATGGGGAGCGACGGAGGATGCTCACTCCGCTCTGGCTGCTTACCTACATCAAAAATAGGTCATTATACTCACCTTCACCTTTTTTTTTTGTTTTTGTTTTTGTCCTGCAAAACATTAACCAACAACCTCATTCAGCCAGGGGCAACTGTAACCCGTTTGGGAGAGGCAGCAGTAGGATCCCGCTCATTTCCAAGCGCAGCAACTTCAGCAGAAACAGGTAGTTCACTGTCAGAACCTGGTTTTATTCTGTTTTAACCTCGGCCTTTGTCCTGCAGTTAAAGTCCTCGTTGCTGTTAAAATGTACATGTTATTTGTACATGGTTGGCATATTTCTGGTTTGTGACAATTTTTTTCACAAGCAGGATGTACTCTGTTCCAAATAACAGAAGCCACAACATGACAGACGCCTGCATGTCATTTTACCCACACATTTTACACATGCAAGTCAACAGTCCTTCAGTAACTTCCATCACTTTTTAAAACATTTGGATGAAGCCACGGTGGTTCAGCTGAGACCCAAAACGACCGTAAGTTTTTTCACCACCCCGGTGCTCTGCTGGCAAGCTGAGGAGAACACGAAAGCACAACGATTTAAAGCATTATCGGGGGAAAAAAAAAAAAGTGTAGCAACATCTAGATTTGTTTTAAACAGTTTGACAGTAAATACCAAGGAAACCAGGTCTACACAAACCCCCTTTGTAACCAGCTGAAGGTTCTTCTGTTTGCATAGTGAAGAGCTAATTCTAGAGCTGATGCTTCGTGGTGGTTTACAGACACAGGGAAGATGCGCGTGACACGCGGGGATCATCCCAGCTTCCGCGCCGTAGTTCAAACCGGCGTCATGTCCCAGTTCCACCCAGCTGCCGTCCACGGAGACACGCCGTGGGTCTCCGTGACGCTGCCACGTGAGACCGTCGCGTCCAACGGTCGTTAGTTTTTGTCTCGGGTCCCCCCAACGAGCGTGAGGGGCCGGGCTATTGTCAAACGCTTCCCCTCCTGCGCGCGGGACAAGCTCCTCGTCAACCTTTCGCCGGACGACTGGGAGACGGCCCGGGGCTGGGGGAGGGTCCGGGCAGAGCCCTGGGGTCTGGCCTCGGAGCATTGCTAAAGGCTTGGTTTTTAAGATCAGTGATAGTCTTTAAGGCTTCAACCTCCCCCTTTGCTTTCCTGGAGAAAATACAAAGAAGTGCTTGTTCAAGCTACACTTCGTGACTACGGTGCGCTGCATGTACAATAGCATTTGAAGAAAAATACTGACACTATAGAACAACATTATACAATCATCTGGCACGACCCCTTCTTTTGGCACTTTTCCTTCATTTATCTGATCTCACTGACTCCAAACACGGACCTTTCTGTACGGCTTTTCCCGGGCAGAGAGCTCCGGAGGGTCAGAAAGCAACTTTTCCGGAGTCGGTGGCATCTTTGGCAGACACGGTCCTTCTGTCGTCAAACCAACCCCAGCCCTCCAGCGCTACCGGCAGTGCAATCTCTTGACCTCTTGGGTTTTTTTTCTCACAAGAGAAGACAGCTTCACATTTTGGGAGGATGTTCACACGCTCATGCTATCCCACGATGACTGCCTTCATCCCGGAGAGAAGGTGGCTGCAGAAAGGAGGAGGGTTAGAAATGACTTTCATATAAGCATAAATCTTATTGGTTTCGTCTTAAGAGCCTCTGCAGATCTTGTGCTGCATCCACCGTTCAGCAAGAGGTATTTTACTTCTCAGCTGGCATTGTTTGTGGCAAAGGTAGTGTCATACTTGACCTTTAAAAGGTGGAGGCTGGGAATTCTTGCTCTTTTAAGTGTAATTATATACAATTCATTTTTTGTGCAAGCTTACACAAACTTACAGAGTGTTAAATTAATAAAACATTCATCCTAGCTTCGTATCGCCTCGAGTCTTGAACCCCACACCGCTTCGGGTGGATTTCAGCCGAGGGCGGTCGCGCTCTCGCTAGCTCGGAAGAAGGCGAGAGGGTCTAGGCGAGCCGGCTGGAAAACGACCCCGTGTTTTTCCCAGTCTTTAGGCAACTAGATGGAGAAGCGAACGTAGAAATGCAGCCAGCAGCTTCATCGGGCTAAAAACCTGCGGGCATGCGACTTCATGGGAAAAGATCGATCCCACCCTGATGCTTTACTGAGAGCTGCTGCCGCCGCAACCCTTCCACGACATGTTTGCGATGCCACGTCCAAAGGGCTCCATCAATGCGGATGAAATGGAGCGCGCGTGATGCTTAGGGAGCCGAGGTTTGGCAAGCCGGGGGCGCAAGGTGGCCCATTAAGATTTTTTTTGGCTGGGGACAAGCTCCAGCTCAGGCAGCGCTTCCCGCGCTTCCGCTCGGATTTAGAAAAGAGGAAATTAACACACGAAACCCTCTAAATATTTATGTCGTCTTTTAAAAAGAAGATATTTAAGACACTGGCCTGATGCATTGGACTGCAAAATCTATTTTAAGAGGGGAAAGAAAGGCTACATTCCGCGTGTAAATCTAGTTTTTTGTGGTGCGGGCTTACTCAAGAGAGCGCCTGGCAGCCCGAGCCTGGATGAAACCACATAAGCGCCGTGAGAAAGAAGGAAACTGTTTAGGGAAGTTTTGATCTGGGCTCAAGGGATTAACTGTGGGGAAGGAGGCCTGTAAAAATAATTATAAATCTAGATGCATGCTTTGAGAAGTGCATGCTTTAACTCAAAATGTTGGGGAAAAAAAACCGGCATGAATTCTGAGTAAAAGCTGTGAATTTCCCTCCTGAGCTTACTTCAGTGCAAAGGGCAGATCCAGGCCATCGCTGCTACTCTCTGCGCTGCTCTTCTAGGTCCGGTCGAGGCTTTAATGACTTCATTTCCTTCCAATTCACAGCTGGGTACAGGAGCAGGATTCAGTTTGGGTGAAAAGCGCCTGCTTCAATCAGCACCTAACGAGGCTGCGGCGCGTGAGAGGGTACGGAAAGCCATCGCCCACGAGCCGCGGCGCGTAGGCAGAGCAGGTCAGGTCTAGCCGGCCCTAGGTATGACTTTAAACATCCAGTAGTTTGTGTGTTAAGGAGATACAGAGATAGATATATATTACGGAATCATTGCTATAAGATTTTTCAAAACGAAAGTGTCAATCTGTTGAAATATAGTATTTAAAATATATAAATTTTATCCATTAAAATATAAGATTTCTTTTTTTTTTTTTTTTTTAAAAAAGGTAAGTTCGATTAGGAAAAAAGCGCCAGGGTCCTTGCAGTTATGCAAGCATGCCAGGAGAGGAAAAAGAAAACCAGTTCTCATTATGTTTTTAACCATTTAAGAGAGAGGGAGAAATTCAACCATTTTTTAGAGAGAGGAATTTGGGCAACAACCGTTCTCTTAGATCAGCTCCACCTGTTTAAATGCATCGGCTGTCCTCCCTTCGCGCCACGGGTCTCGGTACGTTTGCCCCAGCACCGCGCTTCAGTTACGTCCTGAAAATACCACTCATCATCTGGCACACGGGTCAGCAAGATCGTTAAAACACCGCAGCCTCCGCTCCGGATGAAGGTCCCTGCGGACACCGAGGGTGCCCAGTGAATACTCTGCAAGGCAGCTTTCAAGTATCAAGTTGAGATGATGGGGTTTTTTTTTAACCTGATTACTGGAAATAATCAACGTAATTATTGCGGCGTTAATGGCCCATGGAGAAGAGCGTTAGAAACACGAAGAGCCCAGAGGATGAGCTGCCACCGAAGGTCACATCTGGGCAGACAACACATGCTCCACCAAGCCCAGGCTCCGGTCCAGGCTGCTGTGCCCAACTTCATACCTTTCAGTAGAAATTTTTAGTGCATTGCTCACCTGAGCTTTCTTAGTGGTTTGAATCTGAAGACAGCTAGCTCGGAGCAGGGGCAGGGCAGGCTTGCATCGCCCTGAGCACTCACGGGCCGGGAGAGCCGGGCTCCGGTCCCAACTCTACCGCCAACCCATCAGGTGCCTGGGAGAGGATGGTGATGCCTCAGGTACCCCAGGGATTCCTCCTCGGGTCGCTCTCGGGCATGTAAGGACAGGTCTTAGGTGTGCTGAGAGATCTCTTAACTGAGCAAAACCTGCAAGGGTGCGTGTCGATAGGGAGAACTTCCTTCCCAAAATCACCCGGCCAGCGTTCCCCCTTCTAGGTTTCAGTGTTGGTGGGAAGAACGTGAAACCCTCTTGTCTCAGAAGAGGCAGGGACCGGGAGAAAAGCTGCATTTGCTCCCCGGGTCACAGTGCCCAGGGCACGGCTCCCAGCTGCGCTGCCCGACCTCTCTGCCATGTCACTAACGGGAACATATGAGTTCCTATAAGGC